AAGGACCATACAAACGTTAACCCAAACTGTTGACCTTGCCATCTCAAAGCCAAAGGTACAGGCTAACAAACAAGATGGCCCTTAGGGTTTAGGGTTTAGTTAGGGTTTAGGGTTTCGCATGGACCCTAAACCCTAAACCCTAAACCCTAAACCCTACACCCTAAACCCTAAACCCTAAACCACACTCCAGCTTCATTGGCCAGAGTTTGGGTTATGCCTTGCACAGTGGCATGTGCTAGCTAGGTGAGGGTTTGGCGTTAGCTTTTCAAATCCTAACCTCTTAGGGAAGTACCTCTGCGTAGGGCTCCAGAGGCTGAGAAAGCCGCAACTTGATTCCACGGTTCTACATGCCCTGCAGCTCACAGGATGTTGAACGTGAAAGCCCCAAGGTTTGAGCCTGGTTTTCGGGGGCTGGTCGAGAATCACCATCGACTTGCTTCAAGGTGTGGGACATGATACCTGAACTGTCCCCAAACCACAGACGTTCCGCGTGGTAGGCTCACGCGCTGCAGTTTGCCTGTGGCCCATCCACCACACCTTCGCCTACGCCGCGTGCAAGAGTAAACGCCAAGGAATCTTCGCCCGTACAACCTCTCAGCAAACCGTAGCCTCCGAAGACATGAGCCCCAACCCAGATGTCTTCTACACCTTACTCAACCAGGTGGGCTCATTGGGTCGTGTGTAGGGTTTAGGGTTTAGGCCTCTACACCCAGAGACTATTCCATGCCCCTGAGCCCTGAGCCCTAAACCCTAAACCCTAAACCCTAAGCCCTAAACCCTAAGCCCTAAGCCCTAAACCCTAAACCCTAAGCCCTAAACGCTTCTCTTTTCAGGCATCCATGCACTCGATGCCTCGATCACGCGCACTCAGGGCATTGCCCCTCGCAGAAGGAGCCCGCAAGCAGTTGCGGCGAGCGAAGGCGCCGCATGTGGCTTTGGGGGATCCAGAAAAGGGTTAGGGTTTAGGGTTTAGGGTTTAGGGTTTGGGGTTCAGGGTTCAGGGTTTAGGGTTTAGGGTTCGTGCCTCCACATATACACGTGTACTACTCGACCAGAAGTAACCTAGGAGAATAAAAGGGGTACCCTGTTTGCTCAACGGGGCGTAGAAGGGCACCTAACCCCAAGAAGTGAATTAGGGCCCTAGACTACAGGCTTCTCTGTCCCTTGGTAAAGCTTCGGGGCACTCATCCCACAGCTTTCTGAGGCCCTAAACCCTAAACCCTAAACCCTAAACCGTCTTCCACCGATTCAGAGCTCTTGGATGTCGTCACCGCCACTTGTTTCCAGAGGCGGCTGGGCAGCGGTAGATGCCTGGCATGCTTAACACCTGCAGGGTTAGGGTTTAGGGTTTAGGGTTTAGGGTTTAGGGTTTAGGGTTTAGGGTTTAGGGTTTAGGGTTTAGGGTTTAGGGTTTAGGGTTTAGGGTTTAGGGTTTAGGGTTTAGGGTTTGGGGTTGAGGGTTGAGGGTTGTAGGGTTTAGGGTATAGGGTTTAGGGTTTAGGGTTGTAGAGTTTAGGGTATAGGGTGTAGGGTTTAGGGTGTATGGTGTAGGGTTTAGGTGGTTCCTGTCAAGGAACGCAGAGTAAGTTCCCTTACCGCAAGAGCTTGGCAATGGAAACCTTGCCCGAAACCCGGATGTTTTCCTACACCAATTCGGCATTCGGGTAGGGCGTCAAAGCTTTTCTTAAACCAAACGGTCATGAACCCGGCCCAACAAAGCAAATATACCAAAAAAACCGAGGAAAACGTAAAGATGATATGGCCTACATGGTTATTTAGGGGTAGCCCTCATATACCCCCAAATGCCCTATAATCCGTACAATCGGAAACCCGCACAACGGTACCCTTCTTTTGGAAACCCCCTCAGTATGTTGAACGCCACCATGAGTTGTTGCCATGGCTACTTCTGCCCCCTGCTCTAAGGGTACTTTCATGGGCCCTGAATATGGCCCCTTACGGAATGTAAGGGGCATTTAAGGGGTCCTCCTTTTAAGGGCCCCATACCGACTATTTGCTTAAGAACCCCAAACGAATTTAAAAAAAAACACTATAATCCCTATATTACCCCTTATTAAGGAAGAATATGTTGTGTTTTTCGGGGTTCTTAAGCAATTAGTGGATACTAAGGGCCCATGAAACTACCCAGACCTGCAAGGGTTCAGGCTTTATAGGGTTTATGAGGTTTATAGGCTTTATAGGGTTTATAGGGCATATATGGTTGTGCGCTGTGCGTTCTGCGCCCCCCCCCCCGGGGTAGGGGGGGGGGGGGGGGGGGTTGTGCGCTGTGCGTTCTGCGCCCCCCCCCCCGGGGGAGGGGGGGGGGGGGGGGCGGGCGGGCGCAACCATATAGGGTTTGTAGGGTCCAGACTCAGGGCCCACGAAACTATCCTAAGACCATCCTAAACCTATACGGGGGGCAACCGAAGGGGGACAAGGAACCAAACAGTCAACCCCAACCGAAGCCCTTAACTCCCCTGGACCAACCAAAAACAAAACCCAAACCACAGGGCACTCTACTTTTTGTTTCAGGCACATGGCCCAGATTCTTGAGCCAAAATATATATGGGTGTTTTACCCCTTTCAAACCTGCAAAGTGCAACCTCCGCAACCTAAACCCTAAACCCTAAACCCTAAACCCTCAACCCTCAACCCTAAACCCTAAACTATCCTAAGACCTGCCTGTGTGCCGGATGCGCCCTCGATCTGGATGTCCAAGTCAGCGACGAGCACCGCTCCTAGGCTTCTCAACTGGTTTAGGGAGTACCTGCCCTAAACCCTAAACCCTAAACCCGGAGCCCGAAACGAGAACAAACACCGTCAAGGCCGCCGGCTTGTGAGTTGTGAACTTCCGGGTGAAGGTTGGAGATCGCATTGCAATGGGCCAGCGGGTCCCAATTGGCCAGGTTTAGGGTTCAGGATTCAGGGTTTCGGTTTTAGGGTTTAGGGTTTAGGGTTTATAGAAATTGTATAGGGTTTGGGTCCCAATAATAATAACGTTTTGACCGAAATGTTTTGACCGAACGTTTTGATTTCTAAAACTATGTTTCAAATTTCTTGGCGGGGAGGGGGTGAGGGAATGGGGCCCATTTGGGGGGAGATCTGGGGTCTGGGGAGAGCTGGAGAGAGATCTGGGGGGGGGAGGAGATCTGGGGAGAGATCTGGAGATCTGGGGTGAAGCGGGGGAGATCTGGAAAGAGATCTGAGGGGGAGGGGGAGGGGAGAGGTTTAAGTAAATTGAGCCATTGGCCTCAGAAGTGTTTTGGGTTAATTTACTTAAACTCAGCTTGTCAGCTGTTTAGACAAATAACTTGGAAATTCAGAATGATACAATTTCTATTCATTTTTTCTTGAGGGTTTAGGGTTTAGGGTTTAGGGTTTAGATGTTAGGGTGTGGGGGCTTCTAGCGTCGAAGCTTCTAAAGGCTTGGAAAGGAGTGCCACACCGAATGCACCCGTGCCGACTAGTGGTTGCTCTCAGTGGCTCCTCGTGTCAGTCTAAGCAGGCGAAGGAGGGGGTTTAGGGTTTAGGGTTTGGGAGTTTAGGGTTCTACCAACAACTCAAAATGAACCAAACGCTATCGCCCGCCTGGAACAAACAGCTAAGGACAAGAAGCATAGAGTCCTTAAGGGAGGGGGGGGGTCAAGTAACGCAAGGTTCCCTAATACTCCCTAAACCCTAAACCCTAAACCCTAAACCCTACACCCTGAACTCTAAACCCTAAACCCTAAACCCTAACCCTAAACCCTAAACCCTATACCCTAAACCCTAAACCCTCCCCGTTCCCTCGATACCGACCCCCGATGAAACTTCCCGCCCTTAAGCACCCTAGAAAAGAACGCCCAAGCCCAGGAGGATGTGTTGGGGCTTCGGGTTTATGCTTTAGGGGTTAGGGTTTAGGGTTTAGGGTTTAGCGTTTAGGGTTTAGGGATTAGATGACTTGAGGCCGACATTGAAATCTACCTGAAAGTTGAAAGGTTGCTCTTTAAGGGACGATTATTTCGAGAGCAACCGGGCTATGATGTTCTGGCCGGGAAAGTTCAGCAACAAAACTCCCCTCCCCCCCCCCCCCCCCCCCCCCCCCCCCCCCCCCTCCTCCCTAAACCCTCAACCCTCAACCCTAAACCCTAAACCCTAAACCCTAGATTTTTCACATCAAGAGTCCCTTCTTGAAGCTTTCGGCGCCCTTCGCTGCGTCCACAGCTGGAGGAAGCATCGACTGGGCATGCGAATAGCCCATGTCCCCCCCCCCCCCCTCGGCTTAAGGTTTAGGGTTTAGGGATTGAGGTTTAGGGTGTAGGGTTGAAGCACATGGGGGATGCCACTTCGGAAGAAGCTGAAAATCTCACGGCTTCTTGACAGTTAACTACACATGGCAATCAGGGAATACTGTGCAAGGTTGGTGGCCTCACTGACTGCGCGAACTCGTCCGGTTTCGGCTTCAGAGGTTTAGGGTTTAGGGTTTAGGGTTTAGGGGTTTAGTGGTTTAGGGTTTAGGGGTTTAGGGGTTTAGGGCATGATGTAAGACGACGCCCCTCTGAACAGGTTCATCGAGACCGTCGAGCCTGCAACTGCCCGCTCTGCATGGCCTGCGTATGCCGAAGGCTTGAAATCTGAAAGAAGGGACGTTCGCGGGACGGTCTAGGGTTTAGGGTTTAGGGTTTAGGGTTTAGGGTAGGGCTACTTGCTTGGTAGCGTATCCCCAAAATCCTTTCCCTTAAGGGGGTTTGCAGGCTGAACTGCTGCTTGTCAAAGCCTGACACCCAACATGTCATAAAGAGTGTAGGGTCCAAGGCTTCGGGAGTTTATGGCTGAATAAGTTACCGAGGTTTTTTTTTTTATATAGGGACCTTCTATTTTTTGTATCGCAGAAAGTTGTCTGCAGTCGGACCTGTGGATTGGGTTTAGCTGGTAGCCCCTCAGCTTCTGCGTATTAGACGCGAACTGTCAGGGCACCAAATGCCTACCCTTAAAACATCTTGATGAAACACAACCCCTGGCCTCTATCTGAAACGCGTCTGCTGCTTCAACTCAACATAGCAGCACACTACCTCACCAGACCCTACTTGCTCTTTCGCCAAGAAGTATTGCGTTGAGGGGTCCGCCCTGGTGGCCGCGAAGATTTGAACCATGTCTCATGCGTTTACAAGAGCTCTGGAACCAGCATGTTTCAGTGAAGCATCTAGGAGAACCTGAAGATTTCAGGGTTTAGGGTTCAGGGTTTAGGGTTTCTTGGCAAACAAACATCATCAACTCCCTTTCAACAAGTTCAAGGTGCTGGGAGGGTTGGAATGGAAAGGACGAACACAAGCAGGTATCCAGCCAGGACCCCAAAAACCCTAAACCCTGAACCCAAACCCTAAGCCCTAAACCCTAAGCCCTAAACCTAAACCCTAAACCCCGCAAACCCTCCGCCAGCTCTGGGTGCCTTTCTGCAGGCTCCCAGGCTCCCAAGTATACAAGTTTGCCCCCAGCCTGCTGGAGCTTCGCGGACGTCATGCCCTCCGGCGCGCTCATCGTCGCAGAGACAAGGGTGCCTCAGCATCCAGGTTGAGCTTTGATCTCACTTGGGTGCAAAAGGGTTTAGGGTTTAGGGTTTAGGGTTTAGGGTTTAGGGTTTAGGGTTTAGGGTTTAGGGTTTCGGGTTTAGGGACCGGATACAGTATAGGGACGTGCTGGCGAGGGCTTGAACGGCATAGAGCTATGACGGTTAATCGAGATCGCTTCCCTCCGAATGTGCTACGGAAGGAACCAGTCAGATCCCACTGGACTGTCTGAGAATTGCACAAACTTACAAAACTAAGCACTTAATGGATGTGGTCATACATTTGCGCAACATGACGGGCGGGTCCCACGCCACAAAGTGGCAAACTTGCGTCTAGCACTTGTGCATTTGATGCGCCCCCCCCCCCCCCCCCCCCAGTTACAGCAATTTTTGTCAAAGCCCGAAATGACGCATCACCCCCTGTCCAACCGCCCCAGTGTTGGCAGGCGTTGGCCGAGCGTCTGTCGCCTTCACCTTCGCCCATGGCAACTGCCGCGTTCTCGGACGTGATGCCTGGAAAGCTGCTTATTTTGAGAAACTAACATCTGTTCAGATTATATATGTGCTTCAATGTAAGTAAAAGCCTAGCTTGGCCTTGTTGCGCTACCCGCGTGACTTTTCGTCTTCACGTCAGCGGCACATAGCGATCATTGAAATGGCGGGAAGCTCCGCTGGTTCGGGCAAATTGGGCTTTGGACTTGGGTGTCCCTTACATGGAGGTCCGTTTAGGATGTCAGGGTACCTTTTGAAGGTTCCTTATTCAACGAGGGGATCCTACAAATTGGAGATCAAAATTAGGGGGTCCCTGAGTATCGTACGCCCCCCTTGCCTGCGATTTTGTCGACCCCCACATGCCAAGAAGCCGATGTTGAAGAGACTTGGGCTTGATTTAGAGTGGGAGTTTGGCAAGTCTGCACAGGCAACAGCCAAAGATGACGCCCAAGCCCTTTAAGCCCTAAACCCACAATCCAAAACCCCCGCAGCTCTTTCAACAGCTTCAACCTAAACCCTAAACCCTAAACCCTCAACCCCCCAACCCCCTATTTTTTTTGTGGGGGGCTTTGTCGGAGGGACCTGTGGCTCCACCAGCAATGGCCGCGCGTGCTAAGGCATCCAGCACCTCAAGCAGGCCAGTGGTTTAGGGTTTAGGGTTTAGGGTTGTTTGTTGTTTAGGGTTTAGGGTTTAGGGTTTAGGGTTTAGGGTTTAGGGTTTAGGGTTTAGGGTTTAGGGTTAGGGGTTTAGGGTTTAGGGACACTTTTGCACTTTGCCAAGGTGCGCTGGGCTGGGGGTTTTAGGTTTTGGGGGCTTTCGGGTTTAGGGTTATAGGGTTTAGGGGAAAGGATTTGGGGTTTAGGGCCACGAGGGCCATGAGGGCCTAAACCGCATGTTCAGACGTATCGCAGGGGCGTTGTCTATCCTTGAGATTCCTTTAAGGTTCAGATTGAGGTTTAAGGTGGTTGTAGGCTTCGGACATGAACAGGCATCTGAAAAAAAAAACGGCATTGAATCCTCTTGGACGAAAAGCATAAACCAACACAACAGGTGCCCTTGTGAAACCTTTGGCCCTGTACGCAAGTGCATCTTGGGAGTCCCAACATGCAGGGCACCTTTTCGCCCTAAACCCTTCATTAACCTCTAGTCCTGAAGCCCTACGCCTATCAACTAATCCTTTTCTGTAAGAACCCTAAACCCTAAACCCTAAACCCTAAACCCTAAACCCTAAACCCTAAACCCTAAACCCTAAACCCTAAACCCTAAACCCTAAACCCTAAACCCTAAACCCTAAACCCTAAACCCTAAACCCTAAACCCTAAACCCTAAACCCTAAACCCTGAACCCTGAACCCTGAACCTTAACCCTAAATCCTAAACCCTAACTGACTGCAGGTTGCGCCCAAAAGTCACGGGCGCTGCATGGGAGACGTGAGACGTGAATACCAAGGGTCGGAATATCTAAACCCTAAACCCTAAACCCCAAACCCTAAACCCAGGTACCGGAGTATCCTACTATGCACCTGCGGCGTTCTTAGGATTCTCGACTTGCTAAACCCTAAACCCTAAACCCTAAATCCTAAACCGTAAACCCTAAACCCTAAACTCTAAACGGTTTCGCATCAGGCTAAACCCTCAACTCAATCCTTTTAGTGGGCGCCCTTGCTCATGCTAATGCGCGCCCATCATGTCGAGAAAACCCTAAACCCTAAACCCCAAACCCTACACCCTAAACCTTAAACCCTAAACCCTAAACCCTAAACCCCAATCCCCCAAACCTTAAACTCTAAACGCTGGTGATTCAGCAGAGGCACCAAGGCTTCAAAGGCCTGCGCGCTTCCGGTCGCCTCCACGTCCGGGTAGGAGACATTGACCTTTTGCGCAGTTCGAGTTGAAGGTTTAGGGTTTAGGGTTTAGGGTTTAGGGCTTAGGGTTTAGGGTTTAGGGTTTAGGGCTTAGGGTTTAGGGTTTCGCGTTTCTGCAAGCACTCTCTGCGGCAGCAGGTTTTAGGGTTTAAGGACTTTTGGTACACTTCTCGACTTTTTCGCTTAGGGCTTATATTCTGGGTTTAGGGCTTGCGATTTAGGTTTACATGTGGGGGATTCCGAAAATCCGGGTAACCGTTCTGGGTATATATTGAGGGGCACCCCGGTACCCTTCTTTCAGGTCAGTAGCTAAGATCGGGTACACCTGTAACTTCTGGGTCCAACAGCTTTATTCTTTGTTGGCTTATAAACATGTCTGGGGAACCCAGAAAGACTGAAAAGAGACCCTGAACCGAAGAAAATCGCCCCAACAAAAATGAACAACTAACCAAAAACCTGCAAGCCAACTGCGAAGCACAGCCCCTTGGCTGAGCTTGGCTGCACTTAGCAGGGTAGCTATAAATTTAACTTTTAGCTGCCATATATTAAGAAACCCAGCAAGCCCAAAAAGGTTGAGGATCTAAAGTTGCAGTAAAGCACCACCTTACTTCTCCAATAATCAAGGGAAAAAAGGTTAAACTTTTTATTCTTACTAAATAAGGAAACCCAAAAAGTTTAAAGTTCAGCTGTTGGAGAAGTAAGCCACAGAGAGCCCAAGCGGCAATTGTGAAGCTCATGGACAAGTAGGACTCGTCGACCACCTTCTCAAGAAGCTGCTTCTTGAAATCTGTGGTGTGCTTGGTGCATCGCACGCTCCCTCCAACCCTAAACCCCAAACAATAAAACTTAAACCCTAAACCCTAAGCCCTCACCAATCATTCAGAACCGTTCAGCGCATAACCGCCAGAAGAACCCCTCTGAGCTCAAAAACTGCTAAACCCTAAACCCTAAACCCTAAGCCATAAACCCTAAACCCGAAACCCTAAGCCCTAAACCCTAAACCCGAAACCCTAAACCCTACACTCAGTTGGCCTGGTCGATCGCCTGCTGAACTTGCTCCACCAGAGCGATCCGCTTCTTCAGGCTGAAGTAAATGAAGCCCAAGCAGACCGCATTGAAGAGGACCTTGCATGAATTCTGCGGGGTTTAGGGTTTAGGGTTTAGGGTTTAGGGTTTAGGGTTTAGGGCTAGCTATAGTTTAGGGGACTCACAGCTTTTTCAACCCTACTTCTAAACACCCATGTGCTTGATTAGGGGGACCCTTGGGGATTTTGACCCTCTGAATAAGGTCCCTGTTTAAGAGAGCCAGAAGAGGGTTCAGAAGGGTTCCTTCTTAAGGGTCTCCCTTGATTATCCTACCTAGGATGTACCTTCGAGTACGAGAAGAGAGGGACGCGGAGCGCGGCACGCAGAAAGGCGAGTGCGAAGCGTCTGCTCGTCCCGGACACGCCAACGGATCGTGGCCGTACGTACGACAATGTCGGGACTCTATATACCCCAAACCCGAAACCCGAAACCCTAAACCCTAAACCCTAAACCCTAAACCCTAAACCCCAAACCCGGACCAGCGTAGCGGAAGTATCACCCCGAATCGCCTGGATCAGGCCGACCACTTGCTGAGGGCTCTGAGATCAAAGAGGAGCTCAAGGTCAAGGCTGAGCGAAAAGGGGGTTTAGGGTTTAGGGTTTAGGGTTTAGGGTTTAGGGTTTAGGGTTTAGGGTGCAGCGAAACACCTGCAGATTCCGATTGTCCGGTACGGATACACAGTACACGCTTTTGAGCTGACGAAATGCAACCGCTTGATCATTTCCTCCTGCTCTTGCCGTCTGCTCATACACAGCCTCTCTGCGATCAGCTCTGTCATTTCTGAGACTTTCGCTCGTTGGTCGGGTGATAGCTCCAGTTTGAGCCAGAGAGCCACGAAAAGAGCGCATAGCCGTCGTCATCCGCCACATTCATCTTCGCTAGCTCCATCTGAGTCATGCTGGTTGGCCACAAGGAAGCATGAAGGCTGATCTCCTTCTTCTGCGATTCTGCGACTGCTTGACCTGACTCTGAATCTCTTCCTAGTAGTCATTCTTTCTCCACTAGCAAGGAAACGCATCGCGAGCCGCGCGTTTTGCAGTCGACGTGTGGAGCAAAGACACAACGGGCAATCTATGCGACGCGGTCTCGTAGGCCTAAACTTGAGACCCTCAACCCCTTCTTTCTTGAAGCCGGACGGCAGGTGACGCCGGAAGACTGCCAAGAGGCCCGTGCACTCGGCCCTACGCCCGACACCCTTTGCAAACCTAAACCCCAAACCCCAAACCCCAAACCCTAAACCCTAAACCCTAAACCCTAAACCCTAAACCCTAAACCCTAAACCCTAAACCCTAAACCCTAAACCCTAAACCCTAAACCCTAACCCTAAACCCTAAACTCTAAACCCTGAAACTTTACCCTCCCGGTGCGGGCCCGGGTGGCCAGCTGCAGCAACATTGCGCGGGTGACGCCCACAGTGGACTCCAGCGGAGGCTGCGCCGCATCCTCTCTTCCAAGACAGGGTTAGGTGGGGTTTAGGGTTTAGGGTTTAGGGTTTAGGGTTTAGGGTTTAGGGTTTAGGGCTTGGGGCTTAGGGCTTAGGGCTTAGGGTTTAGGGTTTAGGGTTTGGGGTTTGGGGTTTTGGCGGTAGGGTTTTAGGGATTAGGGCAATTAGGGTTTAGGGAAGGGGGGCATAGGCTTAAGGATTTCGGGGTTAGGGTTTTAGGGGTTACGGTTTTAGGGATTATGGTCTTATGGAACCGGGGGTAGGATTGACTTGTTCAGGGTTTCGGGTTTAGGGTTTATCTGTGCCATCTTTGGCTTATAGGGTCTATGAAACTCACTACAGCCTTGTGCAGAAGATGCGGGGATGGTTTAAGGATGCGGCCCGATGGCTTGCAGGGCAGACTCTCTGATAGACAGGGGTTTAGGGTTTAGGGTTTAGGGTTTAGGGTTTAGGGTTTAGGGTTTAGGGCTCAGGGGGTGAACGCCGTATGTAGCTTCCATTGCAAGTATAGCTTGAGCTGTGCGCAGAGGCAACTTTTCTGCAGCAGGCTTGTGGGGTTCTAGCCTGGGAGTTGCCGAGCAGTTGCAAAGCTCAGTGGGGTTTAGGGGCTAGGGTTTAGGGTTTAGGGTTTAGGGCTTAGGGTGTAGGGTTGGGGTTTAGGGTTTAGGGCTAGGGTAAGCCAGACGATTCCACTTGGAAGGCAAAAGTGGGTGTATGACATTTCGATACTTGATAAACGCCATGTGATTTGTATTGCCCTTTGGTCTTGACAAGCAAGGCAGTGAAGTTGCAATAAGCACATGTCATCGACAGTCCGCCAAGCCCCAACCGAAATACGGGGACACACAAACACAAATTCTTGCGGCCGCTAAAGTGCGGCATTCTTGCCAAGTTGACAACCGCTCAGTTGCCAACATGCAGAGCATCGGCAGTGCCGGAAGAATAGACACAGGCGAAGTGGGGATAGCTTTTTATGGACTCTTGCAAAACTATGCCAAGAGGGTTGTCAATAAGTTTCCCAAGAGACGCACAAGTCATAAGTGACCACAGCGCCCAGTTTATTTCGTAAAGCCTTCGTGGACTTCCACCCTGCTTCGCACATCACGCACATGTCTCCTCAAAGAGACCCGCCTCCCTGCTTCATGGCGTCCTATGTAAACCTTAGAACTCTTAAGGGGTACAAGGAAGGACCCCTAGAAGGGACCCTGAATCTTATTTCCCTTGGTCTTCTTCCCCTATGTAACCCCTAATACCCCTAAATTACCCCTAAATTACCCCTAAGGTCCCTTATAGGGTCCCTCCTTTCGTCCCTTGAAACTCATGTGGCCTCCGTTGCGTTGGCTGCGACGGTGAAGTTTTCGCCTCTGGGTCCTGCCAGACTTGGGTCTGGTGTTTTTTTTGGTGTAGGGTTTCCGAGACTAACAGCTGAAAAAGGACGAATCCCCAGGATCAAAACCACTAATCATGCTGCTTCCTCCACTGCAGAAGAGTCCCCAAGCAGCGCAGGTCGTGAAATCTACTTACTCCTGATATGGAAGTGTCGTGAGGCTTCTCGAATTGCTGTCGAAGCCTTCGTCTTTTCCCTGGCGTCACAGTAGGGCCACGGAACGGATGCCAGGGACCGGCTAAAACATGTAATGGTGGCCAAGGCTACTTTTCGCGTCGGTCTCCAAACAACTTTGAAGTCAATGTAACCCTAAACCCTAACCCTAAATCCATGACATGGTCTTCTAGTCCGTCGCCCCTGGACGCGGCATTGCGGGTTTTTTCTCATGATCCCAGAAGCGCGTCCTCGATCGCCACATTCACCTGCTGTTAAGCGGTATAAGAAGGGACCCTTGATCTTCTTCCCCTATACAACCCCTATACATGTACGATATATATATATATATAATTATAATTATGCATATATACATACATATCAATATACCTTATACAGTCCCTGTAGCCCCCACAGAACCCCCAAATAACCCTCAAGGTCCCTTATAAGGGTCCCTCCTATAGTCCCATAGTGACTCAGCAACAGGCAATGGTAGCAAAAGAAGGTCACAACACAGCGCCCTGCTTGCAAGTAGAACCCTAGACTGAAGCTCCTTGTGCTAACCAAGAAAATCATTAGGAAGCCCAGCAAGAGTCATGTCTCATGCCCAAACATCCGAATCTTCCCCAAGCTCGTATGCCCCGCAACTCTTTGGGCCCCAACTGTTGAATGCTAAACCCTAAACCCTCAACCCTACATGATAAACCCTAAACCCTGAACCCTAAACCCCAATAAACCCTAAACCCTAAGTCCACCCTTTGAACCCTGAGCCCGATGCACCTTGCTTGCCCTGCGGGCCCTTCGCGCCCGCCAGGCCCACATCGCCAATCAGCTCCGGGGGCACCTATGAGAATTAGGGTTTAGGGTTTAGGTTTTAGGGTTTCTTTTTTTGCCGCCCGCCTAGCTGACTTAGGGTTTAGGGTTAAGGGTTTCGGGTTTAGGAGGTGGCTTTTGCCTTCACTTGTTCGGGTATAGCGGTTTATTTAGGGTTCGGGTGTAGGGAAAAGGGTTGAGGGGTTTATCTGGGGCTTAGGTATAGGGAAAAGGGGTTTAGAAGTTTAGGGTATAGGGTGTTGGGATCACTGAAGCTAAGTCCATGGGGAACAAGCTACACATTCTGACTGGACTAAGGCACACCAAGCCTCCAATGGCAGCCCCCTAAAGTATCATCGGGGTCCCATAATATGATTTTGGTCTGTTCCTGAATGTTGCTTCCAAACTCTATGAGGCACTTTCCAGAATATATCTTCCACTGACTGTATATAGTATATAGGGATCCGGACTCTGATGTAGGGCATGCTCCTGAACGGAGGGTCTTTTGGGCGGTCTTTTGCCAGAATATTTTGTACATAGGGATCCGGACTATGATTGAAGGCATGCTCCTTAGCTGTTTTGGGTTTAGGGTTTAGGGTTTTAGGGTTGGGGGCTTAGGGGCTTAGGGGCTTCGGGGCCTAGGGGTTTAGGGGCTTAGGGGCTTAGGGTTTAGGGGTTTAGGGTCTTTTGGGGCTTAGGGGCTTAGGGTCTTTTGGGGCCGTCTTCGGACATGAGCTGAGCCGCATCGTAGGGGTCAAGGCTCTCCCCGTTGTCCACAGTCGGCTTCCCGGTCTTCCAAGGCAGTGCTTTGCTAAATCAACCATTGGGGATGTTCACCTTAAGGGTACCTATGGAAGGGTTTAGGGTTTGTTTAGGGTTTAGGGTTAGGGGTTTAGGGTTTAGGGTTTAGGGTTGAGGGTTGAGGGTTGAGGGTTGAGGGTTCAGGTTGGGATGTTTCGCCCTTATACTAACAGTCCTTCATGGGCATTGGAGTATCCCCTATGAGTATCCCTATTCAGGATTGTTAGTATAAGGTGGAACCTCCCAAGGTTTAGGGTTTAGGGTTGGAGTTTTCATGAAGGTGCCGTTCAGGGTTTGGGGCTAGGGGCCGGGCTTAGGGCGGATTATTGCAACGGGCAAACATGCCCCTTGCGCTGACACCGGGAAGTCTTGAGTGCACGATGGGTATTCGCGACTAAACCCTAAACCCTAAACGCTAAACCCTAATGCCAATACGATGGGCCACAGGTGCATGTACTGACTGCAGGTCCATGCGTATGGAGGAACGTACCCTAAACCCTAAACCGCAAAGCTTTGCAAAACGGTTTGCGGGAATACAGTGCTTCCTCCGGTCCCTCTTGGAACAAGGCCGCACGAACATGCATAGTCATATGCCAATACCTTCATATAACAATATAGCAGTCAATAATAATCTCATATATACATATATAATATAGATATTGCCCCAACACGGTGTGCCTTTCCATCTTGCGTGGTCATCGGGCCTGCGTGGCAGATGACATATGCTGCATCTGCCGCAAACATGAAGACATCATCCGGCCAGCGCTCAACGCTCTACATGACGGAACATCCGACATCCGCAAAAGTGCCCTATATGGGGGGTATACGAAATTAATAAGGGACCCTTCATATAGACCTCCAAATAAGGCACCCCCAGTTTTCGGAAACCCCCCTCTGCATCTTTCAACATGCGATGCGCACCCGGAGCTCACCAACAAGTCTCCAAACTTCTCAACATCTAGACCACCTTTAGAGTTTAGGGTTTAAGGTTTTAGGGTTTAGGGCTTAGGGTGCATACACACACAGATCGGCAATTACGGTGCACACAAGGGCGGCAGGGAGGTGTAAACACGTTACCTTGGGGCGGGGGGGCGGGGACTTACATGATAAGGGCCATGATGTATCGGAGCATGTTCGGGTCACAGTTCCACTTTGATGAACATGTCCATGCGAACCCTCAATCCAGGGAGCTGGACCGCTGCCCCTACGCCAGAAAGTTGCAGCATGGTATTCCTTGGAAAGTTTTAAATATCAGGTCAGTTAGGGTTTAGGGTTTAAGGTTTAGGGTTTAGGGTTTAG